TCGACAGAAAAACCAAGACACAGATTGCATGGATCAAAGAGGAAGAAATGAAAATTGTTGGAGAGGATGTAGAGAGAAGACAAGAATTCAGAGAGAAAATTCAAGGGTTTTCAAAAAAAGCCAAAAAAGAACACTGGAGCTAAGTGGACGGAGGAAAGAAAGAAACAACATGCAGAAAGAATGAAAGATTACTGGAAGAGAAGAAAGAAGGGAGAGGAACAATCATAAGTTATGTCATGTGGTCTATAATCGGCCAAAATCGAAAGAAGAAGAAGTACCTACGACATTATAACATAAAGGATGTAAAAATGCGTATGTAGCGCATTCGCTCTGAACATATATTTATGTAGTAAATATTAGTCTAAAAAATGCTATTTTTGCATTGATGTTTATATCATACGTAGGTACAGGTCTGACGAAGGAAGCTGGCGAGCGGTAGCGCAGGTACTTGCCCATTTATGACCTATTTGGGTAAGTCACTTGGAACCGATACAGAAATAAGCTTTCAGTGGGCGTAAATTATAGTATTAATACTGATAGGACAGTAGCGTACTAGAAAATAATGTAAAAACATAACTTATCAAAAAGAAAAAATTAATCTATTGCTTTTGTTTTATAGTTAGTTTTCACATTCACTCTCATCATCGGAATCTCTATCACTGTCACCAACATCAACAATTATTTCTTCTGTTTGTCTGTCTATTACTTGCTCACTAATCCCAATTTTTAAATATTTAATTTACGCCCCTGATAGGAATACAGAAGAATGAGGGCTGCAATCCTTATACCTAAAACTGCCTACTTTTGCCACCACGCATCCACGCCATTTAAAAATGTTCGCCAGCTTCCAGCGTCAGGCCTGTACATCTATTTCTCATGTTATAGGATATGAGAAAAACTTGATGTTCCTTTTTCACTACATTGGTAAAGACCGCGTTTTATCATTTAATTTCAAAAATCTCCATTGTAAAACGATAATAACACTTCCTCATGAATTTTCTAAAGGTTAATATTATTTATTACAAAATGTTGAAGGGGATAAAGTAAAACGTTAGTTTCATTTTCGTGCAAGTATCATACGACAAACCATTCGAAACCGCCAGTTACAAGGATATAAAGAATACCTTTTTTATTATACCCTTGTTGAAACTTTTTCCCTGATTTAAGGAACGAAAGCACAACATAAACTCGTCGGTAGGAGATGGCATTTACTGTTTATATTTAAAGTATTTTTTCCGCCCCGTGGAAAATACCACGCAAGCCGAAGGCTAAATCACACACGGGGGTGGTAAAATCCTTTCCTAATACGGAGTAAACGCAATTTCTGAAATTAGAAAAAAAACTACTTTCGGAGCATGGATTAGCACTTCAATAATGTGAAAGCTGTATTGACAAAACCGTATGGTATGAAAATAAATAAAAGCGAAACAAAAATACTGGTATGCAATGGAAGATAATTCAAGATGGAAAGAGTAGTAGAGATATAGAATAGAGGATAGCGCAGGGACGAGTCGCATTTAACAAAAAGAAGTCACTTCTTTGCTAGCGAATGACTAATTCGAAAAAGATTGTTAAAGTGTTTGTCTGAAGCAGGGCGCTGTACGAGTGCGAAACGTAGACGGCAAGCGTGGCGGCAAAGAAAAGGTTAGAAGCGTTCGAAATGTGGTGTTACAAGCGAATGACGAGGATAATAACAACAAATAGCGTAGTAAGTGAAATCACGATTTGTGTGATAGTTTTAACAAAATATTGTTCATCACCTTAAATTTTTGTTGTTTGGTTACGTGCCTGTCACGTAGAGGTAATTACGCCGTGGGTTCAGTACAACAAGTCGATATCTTCATGGACTTTGTCGAACATTTCGAATCCCATAAAATGTAGCAATTTTGTACAGATGGCGATCGCTACGCTATTTGCAGTTGAAAATGTATTAAGAGATAGTGATTTGAACTCGTACTATTTTGCCTTCTATTTTCAAACACGATTGTTTCTGTTAATTTTGCTTAATAGAATCTGATCGTTACTTTTTATTGTTTACCGATATCGATCCAGTGAATATTAGAAAAATACAAGTTGTAGCATTAAATACTGAAAGAGCAGCCAATTTGACAAATATTGCTTCAATTTTCTAGAAGTTTACACCCGGGAACACTCTTGAAGGTAGGCAAGCAAATTCGGAAATACAAAATACAAACAATAAAATCGAAATTGAAAGTTGAAGAAAATTTAACTTCGTTTAATTTAGTCTTTTGCTAAGCAAAGACTTGGATTTTTTTGTTGATATTACATTTTGGAATATGGCATGAAACCTTTTTTTTAATTAAGAATTAACTTTGCTACCCGACTTCTACATTTTCACCATCTTTTACTGACAACCTATTCCAAAATTAACTCCATCTGCAATTAGGTGAACCGTGTGAAATATGTTTTTTCAGCCGCGTCTATCTGATAATATCCCATACCCATTATTTAAGAGGAAAAATGACTGAAGGTATTTGTACAAAGATAGTGTCTTACCCTTTGATGATGACTTGTCGGTAGAGATCCCTTATGTTCGGGTCTTCTTTGCCTGCAGGGTGTAGCTCTAATCCTATGTCGTAATTTAAAAGCATTGAAAGGTTTAACCGATTCCATTCCAATTAGATATTATGTCAATTCCAACAGATAGACCAATATATATATATATAGAGATCGACAGATTCGTTAATTTTTGCTTATTGGTGGAAGTATATTATTGACGCCTGTCATTTCCGGACTTAATTTGTCGTTAATAATGTTAGTCTATACATACTGGGACCGCTAAACGGATGACTGCAATTAAAGCATGTGATGCATACTGATCTAATTAAATACTGAAAGTTAGTGTGCAACTCCCGACAGCCATGTCAGCTCATTAAGTCAGTAATAGGTACATTATCGCAATGGTAATCAGTTAACAAAGTAACATTGTCGATAATGCTGTCAACACTCCTTATGAAATAATAATTGAAGCAGAGATAGATAAAAACGTAAATATTCTCAAGGAGTTGACTAATTTCATTAATTTTATAATTTTTGTCAATCATAAATATGTTACCCAAGATAAAAATGTTCAGTCTCTCAGAGTCTCTGAAAACGAGACTTGAATCTCCGTCTCTCATCGAGTCTCTCTGGTGTCGTTGAGAGAGACTGCCGAGAGACTGTCAAAAAAACTGTTTAGCGTCTCTGAACGAGAGACTCGAGTCGCTCATAGAGAGATCCTCATTTCGTATGCAGTCTCTGAACGAGAGACACGAATCTCTCAATAATTGGTGTCTCGATAGACATGGTTAAAATTTTCAAAGTTCAACATATTTCAGAGATTCCAGTCTTTCTACGAGAGACTTGAGTCTCTCAATTTTTCAGTTTTATTCATTCAGTCTCTTTGTGAGAGACTCGAATCTCCGAATTAACAATTTTATCGTTCGAGTCTCTCATACAGATACTGTGACAGATCCATAAAAACACCTAGACAATAACTGATTGACTGTGAGAGACGCTCTCAGAGACGCTGAAAGGCTCTGAAAGACTAAGAGGCTGGAGAGAGACTGAAAATTTTTGTCTCGAGTAATTGGTTCGCGGTTAGACATATTATTCCGCGTGAAACTATTTTTAATGGTTTATAGTAAATTTAATTGTTACATCTTATAAACGATTTAAAAAAGTAGTACAAATATCTCCCAATTACTCCCTCTTCATGTCTGTAATAAAGCCGTTCCATTTGAAAAATTAAAGCAGCGGCAGTTTGCGAAACACAACATTACAAATGCTTTCGTAGTCTGATTAATGTAAGTTCAAAGCCCCTATGTAAAACATTTTTTTTGAAAACATCTTTTGAGAAAGTATACAATATATCTCATACATTTGGGGCACCCCGTATATATGGCTATAAATGCGTGCATTACTTTTTTATTGGAATATGAGTTTTCACTAAATTGTATTATGCATCTTTCAGATTTCTAGAACTCTAGGAAGCATCCCCCTCCTCAGACTAAATTTTGACGAGGTAACCGCATAATTGCCCATGTTGGTTCAAGGATTTACCGAATTCTTTCATGAATAATGTGACACTTAATTAGCGCTTTGCTGTTCTACTTTGCCAAAACGGATACACTTCAATCTATTCTAAAGATTTTCAGATTAGACATTTCCCTTAATGTAAGATAATTAGATGGATAGATTTTGTTAGTAATTGTTTCCAATGGAAGCAAGTATAAAGGGCTTTAACCCCCTTTAAAAGGGCTTTGTAAGTTGAACAAAACAAAGTTAATCTATATTCTAAATTGACTTGATGTGACGCCAATTGGATAATCTCTCAACATTATTATCGGCTTTACTTCACCAAATCGGAAGGGTTACCGCACCAAGACTATTGTTTAATTCTAAAAGACGTAGTTGAAAATTCCGTTTTAATTTGCCGAGATAGGAGTTATTCGATGCCTTCTAATTAACCGAGTACAATGTTACTTTTAAGCTGGCAGCCCGGAAGTCCTAATTAATTGTATTCATGAAAAAAACTTCTACTCGGAAGCGAACTTTAGGTTCATTTAACCCGGGAATAGTCTGACCATATTACAACTTTAACGAAAAAAGCAATCTAATTATGTAAAATAAAATATAAAATCAATTATTACCGTGCTAGCGTCATTGGATTTGGAAAGAGAAATAAAAAGGGAATGAAAATTACGACGTGTATTAAGATGGCACGTTAAAGTTATATTTCTTATTTCTGAAGAATTTCAATTACTCATATTTTTTGCTGCCGATTATTCAATAATTTGTTACCAAATCCAAAAATTGTCGCTCCAGAACGGTACTGACAAATAGACCAAATGATATAAAATGCTGTAATGCTGTAGTACTTTAGCTAATTTTGATGATATTAATTGTAATTATAAAAACCTCTGCCCAGTAGTTTTTGTTGCGTACAATATAAATATATTAGTTTACTATCCATTATACAATACGAATAAGATACGCACCTATATAAGCTGAACTTCTTGTAGCTATAGAAGAATCAATTTGTTTCTGTTAGATGGACGAATCTGGAAATGAAAGAAAAATTGTCACAGATACAGAAATCAAATTAAAATTCATAAAAATGTACATAACGCAATCCATACATAATACGTATGACTAAGATTTGACTCGAGGAACAAATCAGAAGCTACACAAAAAACAATACAAAATTTTCTGAAATCAAACCTAAAAGTACTCAAAATTAAACAGATGTTCTTCAGTTGTCCAGAAACTTGCATTTATTTTGTTTAAATAAAATTAGTATTTTAATGATTGTCGATGCTTTAATTAACTTCAACCCGTCTCGTGACGCCTGGGAACAGTGTACAGTTCACACACACGGCGCAGTCCTGCAAGTAGAAGACTTTTTGTCAAGTGATGGTTTTATTACATTTAAGATTTGTTGCAATGTCAGTATATCAATCATCATCATAAGGTCGTCAGTCTGAATACTGATTGGACACACACAGTGGTGTTGTGCTAATTTTTTTTTTACCAGAACGCGTATATATAATTATATAGACAGGGCCGATCCTGGGTAGGAGCATATGTAATCCTCAAATGTAGCATCGTACTACAGATGGCGCTCACCACGCCATTTGTAGTATTCTCTAAAACGCGCTGTTAAGACAGCAGGTAAAGGTTGGTCTGTGTTCTGTCGGAGCTGCCTGCGCCGCGCTGATGAGATCCAAAAAGATCGAAATCGCGATCCGCGTCTGGCAGTTTCGACAGAATACAGACCACTTCGAATTATTTTGTTAAAAGTATCATAGTTTAGTTTATAGCTACTGTAGGTATGCAGGTGTATTTCTTTCGTCTTGTTTTCAAACCTGGTAAGTAAACGAATAATGTCTCCCCAAAAACAAGTGCTATTTCGTTTCTGTGATGTCACATAAAGTAATTTGCCCCGAAGAGAGAAATACCTTTTTTCGCCGTAAAGTACAATTTGGGAAAGTTTTATCTGATTCCATAAATTTCAGTTGTACTAACCAGGGAGCGGTGGTCGGATTTCCGATACCGTTATAAATTTCCCGATAAAATTGGGTGACATCCGCGGAATATACAAGATAGAAGCCCCTGATATGTCCCTCGGGAAAGGCGAGCATTTGGCCTTATTTTCAGAAATAATGTAAATATAATTCGAAACACACGCACATTAAAATATTTTTTCCTTTTTCTGTACGTCTCCGACAACTTCTTGATAGCAGTCGTGATATGAAAAGAAATAATATGATATGTTATGGTGAATTGAATAGTTTCGACTTTTATTTGACGAAAATCTATGTTTAAAGAAGATTAGGAAATACCTAAAACACTTCCAAAAATCTTTATTTTGTAATAAATAATATTTCGTCACAACATTGGCTTCATCAGATGAATTAAGTATTGACTACTAACGATAATAACAGACTACAATAACTAGTAACTATCACGCTCATATTATTGTTAATAATAAATACTCAATTCGTCTGACGAAGCCAATGCTGTGGTGAAACATCATATCACAGATAAAGGTTGATGAAAATCCTTTTGTTAATGTTTAGTGTTTTGTTTTTAACATCATGAAGTTAATTAGCTCCTTCAAGAATAATTAGTACATTTTGCTTAATTGTGAGTCTATATTATAGTGGCTTATTCCGCCTCTGCTCGTTTATTTTAGGGGCTTAAATTTAGTTCAGTTACTGTTTTTATTACATCTAAAATAAAAACTAAAATAGGTTCCTATATAGGTATGACTCGGACTACAACGACCACAAAACCATTTTAGATTACCACGACATGATGCAGATTTTTACAGCTGTAGGCAGTTTTTATTTTAAAATACATACGGGTCTGACGAAGGAAGCTGGCGAGCATTCGCGCAGGTGCTTGCCCATTTATGACCTATTTGGGTAAGTCACTTGGAACCGATACACAAATAAGCTTTCAGTAGGCGTAAATTATAGTATTAATACAGATAAGACAGTAGCGTACTAGAAAATAATGTAGAAACATAACTAATCAATAAGAAAAAAAAAACCTATTACTTTTGTTTTATAGTTAGTTTTCACATTCACTGTCATCATGGGAATCTCTACTTGCTCACTGATCCCTATATTTAAATATTTAATCTACGTCCCTGATAGCAATACTGAAGAATGAGGGCTGCAATCTTTATACCTAAAACTGCCTACTTTTGATACCGCGCATCCACGCCATTTTAAAATTTCCGCCAGCTTCCAGCGTCAGGCCTGTACATTTTAACTTTAATCTAGTATTTATACAATTTTGGTTAGGTACTTTCCACTCTGACACTGGCAAACTGCATCATGTTTACTTGACTTATTAATTTTTAAAATGTGTCATTACCAGATTTTAATTTACGAAAGAGAAATTTAAAGGATTTTAAAGAGAAACGTTGCCTTTTTATTTTATTAATACCCTGTTGACATCTGTAAACTATTTGTAACTGTCCGACAGATTCAGTCAAGTCAACTTAACAAAATTTGTTTTCGAAATAAGTTTGTGAAGGTCCCACGTATTCACGTGGAGAGGCAGATATTATTGTCCTTTAGATAACAGCGAAGGTTGAAGGCAAAAGCCAGCCAATCTGAGCATTACATGCCTTTCTCTTCTACACTAAAACGGCGTCAAGGCTATCGCAGTTGGCATCTAACCAACATCATAATCTGCATGAATGTTGTGTTAATCGAGCGGTTGTATAGAGAATGATTATCCTTCTTTTAGTTAATTTACTTAGCACGTGATGTCGGTCAATATAATTTATTAGTGGTCGTTGAAAATTAACTGTTATTATCGTATTACGTGTGTTTATCCTTCATGGTCTGGCAAGGTATCCTTATTTATTCAATCTTGAAGAGGGACATTATTATGGTAAGTTCTCTATTAGTATTATAGTTTTTTGAATTTGAAAGTCGCAAAAGAATTTAGTATTAGGGTTTTCACGCCAGATAGCACGTCGATGTAGTTTCTCAGAAAAGGTTTTTAGACTCGTTTATGTATACTTAAAACTTATATCATAGATAAGACTAAAGAATATAAAATTATTGTTGGGAAATGCAAAACAAGCTTTTAATTTTAAGTAAAAGGTAATTATAAGAGTTGTTACGTACAAGAGTTGTAAAATGCAGTCAACACGGTAATGAAACTTACAAATTAATGTTTTTGTATTAATTTTAATATACTGACATAATAGCCTGATGTGATATCAAATTCATTTACTTAAAAGCTCATAACTGTTCGCACCGAGATCATTACTTTGCTATAAAATTATTCTACAAGTTCTACAAATTATATGAAATGTATAAATTTAATGAACCTACTTTTCTTAAAAAAATAAAACCTTTTTTAAAAAAATTGAGGCAGTTCGGCCGAGTTATAAATAGTAAAATCAGTAACCAAATCAAAGATAATAAAATAAAATATATCTTAAAANAGAAAGAGCTAGAGATTATATTTACTAAAATACTTTAATTTGATCAGTATAGTTATTGTGTCAACTAGAAAAGTTCGGGTGAATTCGGATTACGTTAATTCAAAACTAGAATAGCATATTTATTTGTGTTTGATATTTTTGAATCAATAAGTTAGTAATTTCCGACTGTACTGCTGATAATCTGGAAAGAATGTATGTATTTCGGTAGTCAACGTTGACAGCTCATTTTCTTTTTTCTTTGTAGGGTCCGTAAAGCACAAAAATGTCTAGAAAAAATAAAATGATGAAAAGTGAATTTTTACCGTGAAAATTTATTAGGTATCAAAAATGATGAAAGATCAGTCTCCATAAGGTTGCGAGTCAAAGTTCTTTCTAAAAACAAAATTATTTAAATTTTAATTTCGTTATTAGATGACCTATTTTTTAGTTTAGTCAATGAATGATTGACCATGATTAAAATTTCGACTTGAGCAGGACTACTTTAACAATTATTTTATTAATTGCAAGTAAATTGGATCAACCTATTCTTCTGAAGTCTGAAGTACTTTCGGATTAAAGTTGTTAATAATAAATACTTAGCTGTGTTCTAAAATCAGTTTAAACAAATTAACACATCTCATCCTTTATTTACTGCTTCAAAAAATTGAAACATTGATGAATAATGACATTAAGAAACTTCCAGCAATAATAGTTTAATGAATAATGTAGCCATTCTAAATTAATAAATAGAATGAAGGCTGGATGTTTTAATTAGAACGTTTGCATTCATTTTGTACCAAAATTACGAGCGTTAGTTAATGAGTAAAAAACTCTCTTTTTGTAGGTAGTTATTTCTCGTCACGTATGCGAATAGAAACAATTGTTTAAAGCTCGTAATTTAATCCTAAAAATTTCGCTTGCCATTAAAAGTGGCATTTGCTCCTTTTCATACATCTCAACGTACGCGGTCTCCTTTGAAAATCTACATAATGACACGGTGTATTATGTGGGTGACGCGAATCGAAAGCGAGTCCTCGGAATTTATACAGTGGTAACTGGAAACCCTTCGTTCTAAGAAAGAAAAGTGCAGTCTAATTAACACATCCATTATGCGATCATGTAACATGCACCGCTAACCAGAAACAAGTTGATGCAGACGAAGGATCCATGATACTTTGCAAAATGTAAAAAGTATGTGTTCCCTGAGGCATTTCTTGTTCAGTATTTATTATAAATAAAGGAAAATATTCTGTTTCAGTGGAACAGGCATAAAAATATTACGGTATATTACGATTCTGTCCCATAGTCAATACTGACACCAGGGATAATCTTAACGATGGTGAAAATTAAAAAAATTCAATTTTTAAAATATAAAACAATTAGTGTTCATTTTAATAATAATAAATTTGTTTATTTATTGAAGCATTTCTGATCATAAGGCGCGGATTTTGAAAATTAGGTTGGTACATGCAATTTTCGCTGTTTGGAGTTTGTCATACCCCGCATGCTTAATCAGGTTGCATATTAGCATCAATTAGCAGTATTTCAACTATAACGTCCAAAATTGGCATAGTCTATAATAAAACTGTCGCATTTACTTTTTTCTTTCAA